CTGGAATATTTTCATGTCTAAAATTTGGCAGAGTCACATAACTTAAAAGGATAGCAAGTCTCTAGATATCGATCAGGGCTCTGTGCATCTACAATGTCATAAAAATGATCTGCAGCTATAAAAGAGATAACACGATTATGAGTACACTACATTGTAATTTCCTTTGGGCAGTCAGAAAGCAAAGACAGTCTGATAGTCTCTGAGAAAAATAAGCCTGGAGCATATCCACTGTCTGACAGATAAATCATTTTGCAATATTCCAATTAAAGCACCTTCCAAACTTAAACTAATAAGAACAACAAAAATAACAGAACAGTTTAACAGTTACCTTTCAACCAAAACACAACAGGCAGCTGAAAAGCTAAGCAGCGCACAAGTTCTCTGAGAGCTTTAATGCTCCAACTCCTTTGCCAGTTCAGGCATGGAACACAAACAGTTAACCTTATTTTGAGCCATTATATGGAGCTTACTATAAAGCTTGCTCTAATAAATGGTATGATATGAAGGTCAGCCCTTAATTCACCATCAACATATCTTCTGGGTGTAAACATAATGACTTCTGCTTATACACTATACAACCCTGACAAGAATGCTACTTGACAATGCATTTCAGACCTCGAAAAATGTTCTCATTTACGTCAAGGTGGCGAATGTCAGCAGATTCACTAATATGCGTATTATTCGTGCTGCAGTGGTGGAACAGAGTAAAATGCCATGAGCCCTCCCTACCCTGCTACTGCCTGGCTAGGAAGCCAATGAAATAAAACAAGATTTAATCCTGTCCATATCACTGTGCAGTTGGTGAAACTCGACAAGTCAACATTAAGTATTCAAAGTGGTATTGTGGCCTAAAGGGATCACATGCAGCCTGCACATGAGAGCGAAGGAATAGCTTGGTTCTGCTTCGGTGTTTGTAAATCTAATTTGTTCAAGAAAAAGCAACTCTGGAAGGGATTACTAGCTAGGATCAACACTCTTACCAAAGAAAAAGGGAAAATGCAAGTAGGAATAATATTGACATTTTTGTAATACAAAATAGCTTTTTGGGCTTAAGTGAATAAAAAAAAGTTGGAGGTGATTGCAGCTCAGCCCTGGCATATGTTAATATTCCACTCAGTGCTCCTGAGTAGGAGGGCCTGGAAAGGTTGAGTGTTTCATGAAGACTGCATAGGTATTTAGAAAACACCACGTTGTACAAAATGTTAAAATTTATTTAGCAAAATATTGTCAAGTATTGTCTCAGTGCAATAGCTATTTCTCTAAATAAGTGGGGCAATTATATTCATAGCATAACAACATCTGACATATCAACCCTTAATTATTGCCAAGATCTAATTCCAGAGGTTCAGAGAAGGATATCTGTGGCTAAATGTGTAAATCCCAGGCTCTCAGGAAACACAGAGCCTGTTGGCATATGTGTGCACATACACACACTGAAATGAAGAATAAGCAAGACCTACAGCAATGCACTTTTGAAATAACAGTACAAGAGGAATGTGTAAATCCCCTCTGGTAAGTGTAGCTCTGTAGTTATGCTACCTGCAGTATCTCTGAATAGCACAATTATTCAGCTGTTTAATGTCGTCTCTGGTCCTACAGCAGAAAATGAGCAACAAATTCTTGAGTCTGTAAAAAGCTCTTTTTGCTAAATACTGCAGGGGGAGAGGTGCTGGCAATCCCACTGGGACTCAGCATGGGAGGGAAGGTGTCCTAAAGTTATATTTACTCCCAATAGAGCTTAGGGACAACTAGGGTAGAGGGTGCAGAGAGCAGGTGAAAGTGATGGCAGAACGGTCTCCTATTTTTGTTTTAGCATGAGTCCTCGTGATGATTAAAACTCCAAATAAGTGTTAAATGTAATGCATATTTTCCTAGAGCAAAGGACAATGAATACCTTTTCCTCACAGACTGGTACTTCAAATATAAAGCACAGAAAGATAAGCACTGCCAGCGAGGAATCTAAAAATATGTCTTGTTAAGCTTGATTAATGAGCTAATAAAAAGCTATAATAAGAAAAAATCCAATTAAAGCATCTTGTGAGATTCTCTCAAACAGAAATAAAGAACCCAAGAGAATGGTAAAACTTTGAAAAATTAGTATGATCCAGATGACAGCCTCAGTATTCAGCCTACAGTACATCAGTTTTATACTTTCTTTGACTGCCTGTCCTTTATTTATCATCTCTGATATACGCTGTCTGGAATTCTGATCCTCAGTGAGTTTTCTTTTATTTTGTTATTGCCTCACAAGTATAACATCTGTATTTAAATACAGACATATTAAAAACTCAGGCATTATATGGGTTGTAGGTACTCACTGTATTCAGAAAACCCGTAGGCCTCTGCCATAACACATGGCCCTTAGAAACAGTGAAATAAAGGCAAAACCAGAGGAAACAAAACTCATTCGTCACCTATATAAAGTCAGAAAACAAACCAGCTACACTTATCATTGATGTACAAAGGACAGAGTAGAAAGAGTAGAAAATTTATACTCTGATACTCACTCTTCATCAGTATCTGGTACCCAAAGGTAACCAAGAGGACACAGGAGCAGCGAGGACACTGGAAAGGAACTGTAAAAGACCCAGAGGTGGGAAGAGCTGTAGATTTGGTGCTGGATGAGAAGCACCTGCACCACAAGGAACCCCAGCCTGCACCTTGCAGAGCCCGGAGGTGAGCAGCACCCGGCCAAGGGCTGGTGGCAGCCAGCGAGGAAGGCAGCACACCAGAGAAACCCAAGGTTCCTCAGAGGCACAGAGCTAGGGCACAGCAAACAGCAGCAGGGCAGGCACGGCCCACACAGGGTCGGAAGGAAAAGCAGCTCGAGGATCTCATACCAGGCCAGTCTTTATTTTAAAACTACAGAACGTGCCTATTTTAATTTACTGAAACATACTCCGCCATCGGCGAGCATCCGAGTCCCCAGGAAAGGTGCATCCCGTCTCCCTCTGGTGGCTGGTCCACAGAAGAGAGCAACATACTACGGCAAACACTGATCTGTTAGCCAAGATGTGTGTGATCACTTCAGCATAACGGTCCACCAGCCCTCAACTCACTGTTTCCTCTGAATTTTAGGATTTGGTGTTGTTTGTTTTTTTTTTTAAAAAGCAAAACATGAAAATGTCTTAGTATACATTCTCTAATGACAGAGACATATCGTTTTTCTCTTTGCACAGCTGAGTGAATATTTAGTGTTTATTTTTGCCTCTTTCAAGTTGTGGCTCAAGACTTCACCGAAAAGCATGAAACACCAAATGAATTTCCTCATCAACTGCCAGGAGTGTTTCACAAATGAACACTTTTCAAAATACTTTCATTTGATTACAGGGTTTGCCTTTTCTAATTTGACAGCAAGAGAACCAAGGTACAGAGATTATGTTGCATCTGCCTACTTAAGTACCCACCCAGGACTCTTGAAGCCTACCTTAACAACAAAGGTCCCACTGACCTCAGACGTTTCAGGCGGAGCCTGTAAAGATGTGCCTTGTTCTACACTGTGCAAATGTGGGCCTCGGTGACATGCCCAGCACCGCAGAAGACCTCCTGTGTTCAGCACGGAAGCTCGTTCCCCAAGGTAGCGCTGAACCCCAGCGCAGGTTAGACCAGCCTCGACCTGCCTGCTCGATTACTACACGTCCCCGGCTCCTGCAACTAGTAGCACTGCTCATTACTTCCTATTCAACACCGGCAACTTCAAAATCCCTCTATTCTGATGTTTTTACTTTCTGCAGCTCTACTATTTTTAAACATTTGGTGTCCCTCTCCCTGCTCCTTTTCGGAGGTAACGGGGCGTCCATTTGCTCTCACAAGTACATCTTTGACCCCAGCATAATCTCTGGCCTCAACATCAGAAAGCACACCAGCCCCCACGACGAAGGAGTAAGCAAGTAAGCCTCCAGCTACAAACGACAGATGGGCTGTCCAAGGCGTACGAGAGGCAAGAAGCAAGGCTTGCTTCCTGGCTGCTGCCCCGGCAGCGGGGACGTGGGGTGTGCAGCCTGGACGCCCACCAGGAAGAAAGAGACCAGCCCCGAGGAAAAAGGAAAGCCTGGGTACGCCCATCCCTGCCGGACACTCTCGGGGCTCCCGAGGCCACAAGCTGACGGCTGTTTGGCTCCACTAGGCTCTCTAGCCCGAGGCACAGCACACGCTTTTCCCAGCGTGCCAGGCCAGCGGCAGGAACGCTCCCGGAGCCCGAGCCTACGGCCGCGGGTGCCTAACCAACGGCGGCTAACCCCAGCCCGACTAGCCCCGGCCGACCCGCCCAGTCCCTCAGCAACTCTGGAGGCGGCCAAAGCGGGGAGCTGGCGACACGTGAACGAGCCCGACACCCCCACGCCTCCCTGAAAACGTCTGTGGGCGTTATGAGCTGCTGCTGCTGCTGCTGCTGCTGCCGCCTCCTCCTCCCCCCCCCCCCCCCCCCCCGCCCGCCCCCCACAGAGAGGCTGCTGCCTCAGCCGCGGTCCCGCCGCCCTCTGAGGGGCAGGCTCGCAGCTAGGGCCTGCCGGGAGGCACGTCCCGGCTCCGCTTCTCCGCTTCCTCCCGCCCCGGCAGGGCGGCCCTCCCGCCGCCGCCGCTTCCACTCCTGCGCACTGTGCGCGCCCCCCGGGCTG